CTCCCGCGTTTTTCCCCCTGTTCATTAGAAATTCTTCATTTCTCTCAGTAAAATTTTAGCTCAACCTCTTGACTCACTCACTCTACTCACACACATTCTCTGAGACAAACCAATGGCTCCATCGAAACGAACCAGCAATGGAAAATCACCATTGGTTAATCAACAGCGGCAGATAACCACATTTTTCGCCAAGAAGTCACCTTCCGAATCGTCGTCTCCTACTGGGCCTACTCCATCACCATCCTTCTCGAAGCAAAACCCTAAACTCAATTCTAACGCTAACCCTAATTCCAGTCCAAGCTCGATCACTCCATCGCCACTTCAAACCAAAAGCAAGAAGCCTATAATGGTGATAGGTTCTGATTTATCGTCTTCTCCTTCAGCTCCTGTATCTTCTAAGAGATCGTGTGCAGAAGAGCTTGTTAACAAAAGAATCAGGGTTTATTGGCCGATGGATAACACTTGGTACGAAGGTTGTGTGATATCGTTCGATCGAGTCTCGGGGAAGCATTTGGTTCGATATGACGATGATGAGCAGGAATTGTTGAAACTATCTGACGAAAAGATTGAGTGGATTAATGAACCTTTGAAGAAATTCCGTAGACTACGAAGGGTTTCGGTGGTAGATGATGAAGAGGAGATTAAAACTTTGGAGGATACCGGGAGTGGTGGGGATGATTCGGAGGATGAAGATTGGGGAAAAAGTGTGGAAAAGGAAGTGGTAGAAGACGAGGATTCTTTGGAGGATATGGCTTTGGAGGAAGAAGATGGCGAAAGTGGAAAAAGTGGCTTTAGCAAGGAGGTGGCTTCCAGGAAGCGGAAGTTGAGTGCTGGAGGAAAGTCGAAATTAAGTGCTAATAAAAAGAGCAGCAGTGGAGACTTGAAAAATAGTAACAAGGGAGAACTGAAGGGCTCTACCAAACATATTGCAGATAGTAAGTGAGAGTTTATTCTTTTTGTTTGTAACTATAGAGAACACTTTAATCAATGAACATAGATTTGTAACCATGATTTGAAAGTGATTTTTGAAGATCTTTTCTTTCCCCACAATCTTGATTTTCCGATTCATGCTAACTGTATTTAATAATGGTCAATCTTCAATAATTATGGCTTTATTTGAATCCATAAATATTACTATCCAATATAGATATATGTTCTAAATGATTTCATGTTTTCCTTCAGTTCCAATTAGATTAAGTTGTTCCTTTGTTATGCATCTTAATAGTGGTGGAAACGTACCTAAATTATGTGTCATTCACAATTAAATTTGTTGTAGGTGGAAAAGTTTCCATTCCTGACAGCGGTCTAGTTGGTGATATAGCAGAAAGATTTGGTGCACGTGAAGCAGAGAAGTTTCGGTTCCTTGGGGTGTAAGTTTTATTACCTCTGGGAAGTACATTTTTGCGAACATTTAATGTGGATAATAGGAGATGTCACTAATCCGAGGAGGGTGTTGGCTTAGCTCTGATACCTTCAACTCTTCCCGTGCAACTGCTAAATTGTAATAAATGCTTACAGATTCTTTTTATAAATCCAATATTGAACTGGATTCTTTGTTGAAACAGAGACCGCAAGGATGCCAATCAAAGACGCCCCAGTGATGTAAATTATGACCCTAGAACTCTTTACTTGCCTCAAGATTTCTTAAAAAGCTTAACAGGGGGGCAGGTAATTGAATTATTTGATTCTAGCTTAACTATCTTTGAGGATTTCATGGAGTAATTTATCTGGAGTATTCTGTTTATTTTAGAGGCAATGGTGGGAGTTTAAGTCGAAGCATATGGACAAGGTTCTGTTTTTTAAGGTAAGCATAGGGGTACAGGATGCACAAAGCTCCTTTTCCATGTTGATTTGGGTACCTTATCTTGTACATTTAGACTGAAATTGTGCCATTTTTGTTGCACTAGATGGGCAAGTTTTATGAACTTTATGAAATGGATGCACATATTGGAGCCAAAGAACTTGATTTGCAGTATATGAAGGTAATTGACTGCATTGATAATAACTAACAGTTGTAATTTTGTAATGTCTATGAGAGTTTGAAGATTTCATGGGTTGTGACTTGAATAGAATGATTGAATTGCCTTTTGCATTTCCTTTAATTTGACAGTCAACTTTCTATCTGATAGCCGCTTGTCCTTTCAGGGAGAGCAACCTCACTGTGGATTTCCTGAAAAGAACTTCTCAGTGAATGTAGAGAAGCTGGCTCAAAAGGTTGTATATCTTAAAGCATTCAACCTCTAATGTAAAATAAATTTTCATCTTAGTTAACCTCTGTTATCCATTTGTCATACATTTTCTAGTTTATTTTTAATCATAGTTATTTGACTTAGCAGGGTTACCGAATTCTTGTTGTGGAGCAAACAGAGACACCTGAACAGCTTGAACTTCGTCGCAGGGAGAAAGGCTGCAAAGATAAGGTCATTCTAACACTACATAATATGCTATGCATCTATCTATTTCTCCTTGGAACTTGTCATGTTGTGTAGTCTGATGTATATCACTTGCATTCTAGGTTGTGAAACGCGAAATTTGTGCGGTGGTCACAAGAGGGACTTTAATGGAAGGGGAAATGCTCTCAAGAAATCCTGATGGTTCTTTTATGATGGCAGTGACAGAAAGTTGTCAAAGTTCAGCAAACCAACAAGCAGCTCATATATTTGGTGTTTGTGTGGTTGATGTGACTACGAGCAAGATTGTTCTTGGACAGGTGGGGTTCCTTGAAAAGTACACGTTTTCACTACTGATGGATATAAATGTATCTTATTCTTTATTGTCTCAACACCCCCGACCCCCAACAACAACAAAAACCAAAAAAGAAAGACAATTGGGAAGTGCACAAAGCTAGGTTCAGGGTAGGGACCAGGATATGGTGATAAGTTATTCTAACCTTGCGGCCGCCACATTGTCATCCCTACTCATTATGTGAATGAATGATACGGCATACATGATGTACATTCTCTTTGTTATATATTTTTGATGGGACTAAATGACTAAATATGTTTACTTTTATCAGTTTATAGATGATTCAGATTGCAGTTCCTTGTGCTGTCTCTTATCTGAGCTAAGACCAGTAGAAATTGTTAAACCTGCCAAGCTGCTCAGCCCTGAGACTGAGAAAGTACTTCTGAGGCACACAAGAAATCCTTTGGTTAATGAGCTGCTTCCCTTGTCTGAGTTTTGGGATGCTGAGAAAACTGTTAGTGAAGTTAAGGCCATCTATCGGCTTATTGGTGACAAATCAAGTTTTTCAGCTTCGGATAAAGCAATTGCACATGCTAGTGAATCTTTGGTCGAAAATGTTGGTGTCAACTGCATACCTGCCGTTTTATCTGAGCTTGTGAATGCGGGTGAGGATGGTAGCTATGCACTTTCAGCTCTTGGAGGTGCACTCTTCTATTTGAAGCAAGCTTTTCTGGATGAAAATCTACTCAGATTCGCAAAGTTTGAGTTGCTCCCATGCTCTGGTTTTGGTGAGATCACTCAAAAACCATATATGGTTCTTGATGCTGCAGCAATGGAGAACCTTGAAGTTTTTGAGAACGGCATAAATGGAGATTCTTCTGGGTACATACGGCATCCTATCTAATAAAGTTACCATTCTCAGCCTTATCTTTGTTTTGGATTTATCTTTTTGGTTTTTTCCTTTGTCCATGCAGGACACTGTATGCTCAATTGAACCATTGTGTGACAGCATTTGGGAAAAGGTTACTTAGAACATGGGTTGCCAGACCTCTGTACCATATTGAGTCTATTAAGGAACGTCAGGATGCTGTAGCAGGATTGAAGGTATGTTTAGCTTTTAAAAGCTTACTCCTCGTATGTCTTTTGGTACGTTATTAGTATTTTATTTACTTGTGGGTTTTAAGTATTTATGGTAACTGGTCTCCAGGGAGTTAACGCTCCATTTGTGCTGGAGTTCAGGAAAGAGTTGTCCAGGCTTCCAGACATGGAACGTTTACTTGCGCGCATTTTTGCTAGCAGGTATAGTTGCAAAACATGGTCATACATCATCAAATATATGAAACTTCCATCATTAAATTTCCTACTTGTTTCTTAAAAAGATCTATGTTCTGATTTGGGTTGCATGCAGTGAAGCTAATGGCAGGAATGCAACTAAAGTAGTCCTATATGAGGATGCAGCGAAGAAGCAGCTTCAAGAGTTCATTTCGGTTCTACGTGGATGTGAACTAATGATCCATGCATGCTCCTCACTTGATGCCATTTTAGAAAATACAGATTCTAGGCTACTACATCATCTATTGACACCAGGTATAGGCTTAATTCATGTTTCAGCAGTGTCGTACAAATTACGATGTTGCTTGGAATCTGACATGACAACTATATGCAGGTAAAGGGATCCCCGACGTCCATTCTATTCTCAGGCATTTCAAGGAAGGCTTCGATTGGGAGGAAGCAAATAGTTCAGGTCGTGTAATTCCTCTAGAAGGGGTTGATGTGGAGTATGATTCTTCATGCCATACAATAAGAGACATAGAAACTAATTTGAAAAAACACCTAAAGGAGCAGCACAAATTACTTGGAGATGCATCGGTACGAACTTCTTGAAAATAGCTTGATATTTGATCTTATAGCTTCTGCTTGTGTATCAACCATCCGCTTGGTTCTTTTGGACAACTTTGTAGATTAATTATGTAACAGTTGGTAAAGACACATACCTGTTGGAAGTGCCAGAAAGTTTGTGCCATAACATTTCACAGGAGTATGAGTTACGGTCATCGAAAAAGGTAAAAAGCTCAGTAAGTTGGTATTCTGTTGTATTTATTCGTATAAATATAAAGATTTACATCTTGAATTCCCCCTTTTTCCACCAACATTCTCATCGGATCATTACGATACTGGTATTTGAACTCAACATTAGGCTTCAGTATTGATAATGTGGTTCTCGCTGATGCATTTGGCTAAGAAAATTTCTTAGGTGACTTGAGTATCTGTTTCAGATAGGTTAAATACTCATTCATGGCATTAAGTCTGGCTGGGGAATGATGCACTCATCTGTTGTTTCTTTTTAAGATATAATTGCCGTGTAGTTCTCACTCCATTTTTCTTTGAATAATTGATTTCAGGGCTTCTTCCGGTACTGGACTCCAGTGATTAAGAATTTAGTAGGGAAGCTCTCTCAAGCTGAATCTGAGAGGGAGTCTAAGTTGAAGACCATTTTGCAGAGGTTAATTGGAAAATTTTGTGAGCATCATAATAAATGGAGACAATTGATTTCTACAATCTCAGGTATTGATGCATTGTGGATGTCAAATGGAAAGTGTAAATCTCAGTTTCAATCAACTACTATGTGAACCTACCGGTCCTTGTAAGGATCTTCTATCCTTCAATTGGACACGAATATTTATTTCAGGTTCTTATGTGCTTTTGGCTTACTTTGCTGGAATTGTAAAATTGCTTTTTATGGTTCAAATTAGGAAGTGGGACATCTTTGGTTGCTTTACAAAACATAATAAATATGTCTGGTTCATTTCTGTGTTGGCTGATACTTTTTGCAGAACTGGACGTTTTAATCAGCTTATCCATTGCTAGTGAATATTATGAAGGACCAATGTGCCGCCCAATCATCTCTCCAGTATCATCTCCTGATGAAGTGCCTTGCCTCTTTGCTAAAAATTTAGGACATCCTGTTCTCAGGAGTGATACATTAGGCAAGGGTACCTTTGTCACTAATGATGTTTCACTTGGTGGTTCTGGTCAAGCCAACTTTATCCTTCTTACTGGTCCTAACATGGGGGGGAAGTCTACTCTTTTGCGTCAAGTCTGCTTAGCTGTGATTTTGGCCCAGGTAGATTTTGTAAATTCTCATTTCTTTTAGCTATGAATTGCTTCTAAATATATGTTAATTGTTTAGCTTTGATTCGTCACAGATAGGGGCAGATGTTCCGGCAGAAAGGTTTGAGTTGTCTCCTGTTGACCGCATTTTTGTTCGAATGGGTGCTAAAGATCAAATTATGGCTGGGCATAGCACATTCCTGACGGAGCTTTTGGAAACTGCCTCGATGCTGGTAAGGGTTACACATTGGTTAGATTGAAAAATAAATAAAAATTGTCTGAGCTATGAAAATTCTTCCTATTTGCTTGAATATCTCTTTATTGAATGCCTTTTTTATCCTTTAGACTTGTATAAGAAAATGGTTCTTGGAGTCCCAAGTCAATGATATTGTCTGGCTGCTTGGTTTGAGCAACCATACACATGAATTTTGGAATCATTGCAAGGAAAGAAGGGCATCATCTAGGCACTTCTTAGATGATTTACTTTTGCGATTCGTTCCCTGTATTTGTTATCTTTTTTTTGTTGTAGTACTGTATCCAATTCCATGTGGATTGTCTGGTAACATCTTTTGAATTTTTTGATGGTTGATGCAGTCTGCAGCAACCCGTAATTCACTTGTGACACTAGATGAGCTTGGGCGGGGAACATCAACGTCAGATGGGCAAGCCATAGCGTATGTGCAGTTATAGATAGATGAGCTGTTTTAGATTCTGAGACGATATTTTTGTTGAAATTTCCAAATCATTGTTAACGTGCCTGCAAAATCTCTGAAAATGCATTTAGTCTTCAGTTTTCTTATTTGAATCTCTTTTGGCAGTGGATCAGTTCTTGAGCATTTTGTGTGCAAGGTACAGTGTCGGGGAATGTTTTCTACCCACTACCATAGGTTGGCTATTGACTATCAGAAAGATCCTAAGGTATGTAAATGAGAAGAAAATGTGTCAGGAGGCTCTTCTATGACAGTGATACTCTGTAAATCCATGGTACAAAATTTTTGATACAGCAGACGCAAGTTGAAGCTCTAATAAGCTGTATATATAGTGAGATTCTGTAATCCTAAATGGGACTTTCTAACCAAGTTTTTGCAGTAGTTTAAGAAGAATCCTTTTCATCTGTGACCATTGGAACGAAATATTGCTCTGCTTAGACTTGATACCTCATTTTGTATAAATTATGGAGCAAAATATCATTCTTTTGCAGAGCATCTTAGATTCTTACAAAAAGAAGAAAAAGAGTTGTGTTATAGCTTCAACCTTGTTTATTAGTTTCTGTCATATTCCAGATATTGTCAGAAGGCTCTGGAAATAAATGAAAATAGAATAGAGAGAGAACACGTGATTTCTGAGGCTCTGCAATATGAACTTGCAGACTTGATTGCATGCATATATGGGCTAATAACAAGGAAACTAATTGCACTTGTCAAATAACAAATATAAATCAGTCTGACTGATCAACTATCCTAGCTGGACTAGCAACATGGAATATAGTTGGTTGCCATCTTGATCAATCTTCAACAAATCCTCGTGTTACTTCTGGATGCACTAACCCCTCCCAATTCCAAGTTTTTATTGCAGTGGGCTTCCCTTAATGCATTGATAGGACCAATAGCGTAGTTTTAAAAGATAATGCTAATGTTCTTTTATGGTTGAAGGTCATATGTATCAGCTTGAGAAAAGATTGTGGAACTGAATGTTTTCTGTGTCTCAAAGCTTACACAAAAAAAAAATAAATAAAAATTAAAGAAAGTGAATTGGACCTGAAGAAAACGACTTGGGCAATGTGTAATTATTTGGGTGTTGAATGCATTGATATACTAATCAATGAGCAGATATATTTTCCTATAATTATATTTTTTTCGAAAATTTCACCCTTCAACGATTTCATATTCTGTCTTCTTCATGGTACACAGGTCTCCCTCTGTCATATGGCATGCCAAGTTGGCAAAGGAGTTGGAGGTCTTGAGGAAGTTACCTTCCTTTATAGATTGACACCTGGTGCATGCCCTAAAAGTTATGGTGTTAATGTTGCAAGGCTAGCTGGTAAGTTGACATATTTTAGGAAAAAGAAAGAAATTGTAAACTAAGTGTAGATTTTACTCCTGCAAAATGGGCATTTTTGAACTGAGAAAATTGATTGAAATGTTAAGAATCAAAATTGCATGCCAGGAATTATTCACTTTTCCTTGAAATTTATTGGTACACAGTAGGTCTGGACAGTATAAGAAATAAGATTTTAGCTTATGTTTCTTCTTTATAGTGTCCATTACTATCTAATATTTCCTACCAAACTTGCTATAGAGCTTGTGCCAAGTATTATCTATATACAATTCAGAGATAGCCTTTTGCCTTGGGTACTTGCCCAATAGCTTTCTTTGTTCTTATTTTCATACCATTTCAGGACTTCCGGATGCAGTACTTCATAAAGCCACTGCCAAGTCTCAGGAGTTTGAAGGTATGTATGGCAAGAGATCAGAAGACAACTCGTCTGTTCTGAGTTGGGAAGACGAGGCATCAGTGATCATCCAAAACTTGATAAAATTTTCAGCTAACCAGGGTTGCCATTATTCTACCAAGAACATGGTCCTTGGTTCGTTGAACAAATTGCAACTGAGAGTAAGGATGCTTCTTGAGCAAAACTAACCCAAGGACAGTGTACAAAACTTGTCCATCGTGTTGTGCCTGCATCTCTACATTTGCATTGAAGAATAAGCCTAATGTTTCTGTTAAAATGCACATCCCTATTTTGCGCCCAGATCATACCCAAACACAAACTGGTGCCATATCTTCCTCAAACTGTGTTCCTCTCGTTGCAATATAATAGCTCCTTAGAACGGCTTACATTTGGTAGTGGTGAGGAGTGGGGACGGGGTCAAACTGAGGCAGGAAATGAGCTTGAAGCCATGACATGGCTACTTGGAATAGCTTTCGTTTTTTGGGTGGGGGGGGCGCAGAAACAGCAAGGAGGGTGCAGTGGATTACAGGTCGAAGAAATTACTTCACTGACTTATTTGCATTGTATTTTAGCTGGTAAACTTTGGCGTACCTTGCCAATGTTTATGACGCCTGAAAAATTTAGGTCACCCAGTTTGAATTTTGTGGGTAGATGGAGAAACTAGTTGACAGGGTATTGTTCTAGTGCCAATTTCTGTAGATAATGAAGAATTTTTCCCCCCCTAGTTGTATCTGCTTACAGCATTGAATTATTGCTCTAGTACAAATCAAGTCACAAATAAGCAAAACAAAAACTCTATTATGGGGATTGTATTTCGATGTTATTTAAATGTCCTGCTTCGTAGTCTCGATCATCAGAGCTTAATTCCACGTCATCTGAACTCTGAAATGAAAAATGAAATGATTTAGTCGGAATATGGGCTGGTGTACAAAGTTGACGACAATTCACTGCTTCACAAGTTGTAAGCATCAAGCATGTTTGGCTGTGTTTGTGTGCTTTTGATACGGCAGTAGAATAATTCATTAAAGTGAGATTGTAAGAGAATAACCTGATTGTGTTGCTCGAAACTGCTTTGAATTTTGTTGATCAATTGTATCAGTATGTACATTGGGAGAAGAATGCCAATAGCCTTAACAATAAGCAACTGCACAAGTATTTGTATAAATGAATATTAGCACAGTTTAAAGCAGAAACTATACTGTGTACAGTAGTTTATTACTTTGAATTCCATTTTTTATGTTAAACATTAGGAACTTACTGTAGAAAGTGAAAAGGGGTAATCTCCTGTTTCTCCAGTGAGCACGCTCAACGAATGTCTCATCAGAAGCAGAAATGTCAACTGCAAATTTGAATGGCAATTCGGTTTAAAATTGAATTTGACCAAACAAATACCCAAAGATTAAAGATAGGTAGCAATCACAACTCGTGATTAAAGAGCATTGGTTTTTCTCCCAATAATCGGCAACATATTAAAAGTATGTATTGTACCGTTAGACTAAGTAAGACTTGATAAGATGAACATAATTTTCATTTCTTGCTACGTGTGACATCTTTAATTACTGGTAATTGAACCGGTATAACTTGGTTTTGAGGTGGATCGAGATTATATAGGGTTCACCACAACTTGAGCAGGGATGGGTCATATGGGATCGGCAGACCCTACGATTTTTGCATAAACTTACGAGCATGTTTGGGTAATCGCTGCTTGTAAGAACGTTTGCTGATAGGGATATTTTTAGTGTGAAACTAAAAACTGGCAGCCATTTGCCATACCCATAATTGCCAGGAATACATATTGCCACATGTCACATGACAATGTGAGTTCCCATTGACTTAATGCAATTTATATCATTTGGAATATATGAAGTCAACGGTTGAAAAAGATTGGATAAAAGAACTTACAGTGAGAGCCATCGATCTGCAGCAAGTGGCTCCACTTGTATGTGAAGCTGAATTGCATTCTTCGGAGTAGTCATCTTCAGTTTCAAGCACACCTCCATTTTCTTCTCCTGTTTCTCTTCTCGGAATTTCTGAACTTCCTCTGTTGACATTACCCAACATACAACGTTATTTACATGTCACGCCTCTTTTTTTCTTAAACATGTTTGGTCCAACATACGATATATGCCAAGTCTTGACGTATATTGTAAGTAAACGTGCCAAACATATTTGATACAAGGAATTACTTGAAACTAAATTTGCCAAACTCGCTTTATCGATTTTAATTTATTGAAAACGATGGTTACTTTGACGAGAAAAACAGAAAGGAATACCTTATGGTTAATGTTGTGTCAACTAACTGTGCCTTCTTGGATGGAGCCTTGTAACCAGGTTCAAATTTCTGTACCAGACAACAAGTTTCAAAAAATGTCATTTTCATAAGTATATAAAAAATAATAGAGTTACACAATCGCTTTCCGTTTCAAGTATTCAAAATTATCCAGTCCGCCGGTCATTGAAAAAGACAGCAAAATTGAAAAATATGAAGTTACTTTGAAAAAAATTAAAAAACATGCTGTTAGGTGAAAATATGGATTAGAATTTTACTAATTTGTCAAACTAAATTTTTTTAAGCTTAGTCCAATAATAATTTCAAAAGATTAATAGTAGGAATTAAAAAAAAAATTCTCCCAAAATTATTGAACAGGGGAAACTGCAGCCTGCAGGGAGATAGATAGATATATAGAGAGAAATTGAACAGAACAACATAAGTTTTTCCAGAGAGAGAGGGAATGATCAAGAATATAAAGTGAAACCTGCAAACAAATTTCACAAATTGTGTTTCCCTTTTCGTTGCACCATCTCTGTATGCAGTCTCTGTGTGCAAACTGGAAAGACAGAAACCAAAAATAAGTGATTAAGTTCCAAAAAAAGCAAGAGATAGGTTCAAATTTCTGTACCAGACAAGAAGTTTCAAAAAATGTCATTTTCATAAGTATATAAAAAATAATAGAGTTACACGATCGCTTTCCGTTTCAAGTATTCAAAATTATCCAGTCCGCCGGTCATTGAAAAAGACAGCAAAATTGAAAAATATGAAGTTACTTTGAAAAAATTAAAAAACATGCTGTTAGGTAAAAATATGGATTAGAATTTTACTAATTTGTCAAACTAAATTTTTTTAAGCTTAGTCCAATAATAATTTCAACAGATTAATAGTAGGAATTAAAAAAAAAAAAAAATTCTCCCAAAATTATTGAACAGGGGGAACTGCAGCCTGCAGGGAGATAGATAGATATATAGAGAGAAATTGAACAGAACAACATAAGTTTTTCCAGAGAGAGAGGGCATGATCAAGAATATAAAGTGAAACCTGTAAACAAATTTCACAAATTGTGTTTCCCTTTTCGTTGCACCATCTCTGTATGCAGTCTCTGTGTGCAAACTGGAAAGACAGAAACCAAAAATAAGTGATTTAAGTTCCAAAAAAAGCAAGAGAAGTTATGAAGAATTGATGAAATTTGCATATATACCTTGACAGTTCCAGAACAAGCACAGGGAGCTTCCAAACTATTGGAGGTTTCAAATTCTTGTTCATGGCAGATTCTGCATACATATATAGCAGGAGATAATTGTAAATCATCATCTATGGATAATACAAAATCCTTCATGCGAGCTTCAAATTGCTTATTTTGGTACTGTGATGCTCTCTCTCTCTCTCTATTTGATCACAGGCCTTTGGACTTCAAATAAAACAAAACAAAACAAAACAGAGAATCTTGTTTAAAACATATAGCCACACACATACTTTAATAAAAATATGTTATTTCAAAACTCATTTTTAACCACACATTCTTAATAAAATAATATTTTACATCACATCAATAATTTTTCCTTACATTTTAACCACATATTTCTCATCATATCATTATTTAGAATACATTCTTTCCTCAATAATATCCATAAAATACATTGGAAAAATAGCAGTCGAGGTCCGCAGCCTATTGCTTGTGTGACATTTTCGTCTTCAACTTTCAAAATGGAGCATTTTAGTCTCCAGTCTTCCACTTTTTCATCTTTTGATATTTAGTCCTGAGGTTCCATCACAAAATGTCAATAATGATTTTGTTTTGCCGTTGAGGTACACTGAGGCGACTATTAAACTTCATTTGCATTGACTCGCCTTGTAGTTGAGAATTATTTATAATTGTTTGAATATGAAACCAGGACCAACTTATTTTGGATAGTAGTACAGTTACTCTAGTTGATTATGTGGTTAAACTTCACTGCGGTTATCAATTTAAGTTTTTGAAATTTATGTATCATCCGTATCTATTTTATCTATAGACTAGTGTGTACACGAGGAATATCGATGATAGTTTTAATGGCAAATGAAATTCAAGGTTTCGTACATCAAAACAAGAAAATAAGTCGATTACATAACTTCCTTGTGTCCTAATGTTGTTTAATTATATTGAACTTGAGGGGGCACCTAATCAAAATTTATTAGGGAAATAACTTAAAATAAATAATATTTTATTTCGTCGCTTTGACTACGACAATTATTGGGTGCTGAATATTCTTGTTTTCAATATATTTCTTGCTTTTGCAATGTTTGAATGTGAGCTGTATGATTGCGGATTAGTGGCTTTAATCACCAGAAATTTTGAAATGGTGGGTCCCATTTTTAGATCGACGTACGTGATGAAACGCGCTCTCACCGAAGAATTTTAGCTAGATTCCGTGGCCCATTTACGGATCGACGGTCCATATTTTTTCCCACTTAAATTGACCTTTTAAACCGTTATAGCCTATAGGCATGTTAAGGAATTTAGGGCATTGTTTGATGCCAATCAAAATCAAATTTTTAGTAAATTTTGATAAAATTCGATTAAATGTGTGGTTAAAAAATTATGGACCCCACAAAATGAGTGGTTAAAATCAATTGTTAATTTGACCGAGATTAAAATCTTGAACAAATCGAGAATTAGGTGTTATTTGTTATAGATTAGCCTTTTAATAATTTATGAAAAGAGTGCCAATCACATGGACCTATCATGAATGTCAATTACATTATTTTATTGTAATCTTTGACTAGGTTTAAAACAAGTAAAAGTTACTTTAAGTGATCTTTTACTTCACGAGAAATGTTATATGTACTAATTAAGAATGCTTTTTATGTTGGGTGATATTAATTGATAAGGACAATAAAATGAGGCTTGTATCCGCACATTTAATTAGGGTTTACAGTTTCACCTCGCGTTACATGCCCCATCATATGGGGACGATCCCCTATTTATATATATATAGCAAGCATTATTCTATTTTAATGCGTTAATTTATTTTTTCTGCTCTCTTTGCTCCGCGAATGAGGGAGAAAGTCTCAGAAAACCAAATAATCTATTTGCAAGATCCGAAAGTGAAAAATGCATAGCATCCTCTAGGCACATAAGTTCTAATCTATACGCGAACTAATATATAGGAACATGTAACTTTAAGTAAAAAATTGTTTAAAAGTAACTTTTTTGTTTCCATACATGTTTTTATATGTTGCTAACTTGCAAAAACAACGTTTTCAAGTTAACTCTCGCTCAACTGTTAAAATAAATAAGTTACTTATTTTTATTTAATAAATAAAAATTGACTTACTCATAAGTAATAAACCTTTTAAGCTTAGCACTCCACTCCCATAACTTTGAAATATAAAATTCTGCAAAACATCTAAGTTATAATCAATAAAATTAAGGTTAGATATGTGAACTGTCTTGGTTATACGTTCAATCCATGACATGCTCTTAGTAAATGTTGATTTTGATTCACTTCAATAATACAATACGTTTTACTCTTAACCTGCGTTGTTATCGTGAAATAGAGCTTCACGTAAGAGAGCTGCACGACATGCTTAATGATTCCAAGCAATCTGCCCAGATTTTAAGGAGAAATCTCTTCACATGTACAAAAAATATTCAGTAATTGAAACAATTGGCGTTCATCTGGTCTGACTGCTGGGGGAGAGGAATGGCCGACCATGTAGAAGACTTACAGATTTCAACTTTCACGACGCGGAGGGGAAAGACAGCCATTTGAGATGCTGGAAATTGAAGAGATTTATGTCTCTGGTCTAATATTGCCCCTTGAGGGAAGTACTGTTGATATAGAAAAAGCAAAGGGAAATAGGTGTGAAGGCTTTGGACGCATAGGAGAATGGGCGACCTCTGGTTAATTAGAAGGATATCCAGTTATATGGCTGTCGATTGATATTGCAGATTATGATTGTGTCAAACCTTCAAGTAGTTATGAAATTTTTTGCGACCAGTTCTTTACCAGGGCTAGTGCAGATTATGATGGGGAAGGTGGGCATGTACAGCTGTGCTTTCACCCAGGGGCGGACGCAGACTTTTTATGTTGGGGGGGTACAATTATTTATGTCTCTGGTCTAATATTGCCCCTTGAGGGAAGTACTGTTGATATAGAAAAAGCAAAGGGAAATAGGTGTGAAGGCTTTGGACGCATAGGAGAATGGGCGACCTCTGGTTAATTAGAAGGATATCCAGTTGTATGGCTGTCGATTGATATTGCAGATTATGATTGTGTCAAACCCTCAAGTAGTTATGAAATTTTTTGCGACCAGTTCTTTGCCAGGGCTAGTGCAGATTATGATGGGGAAGGTGGGCATGTACAGCTGTGCTTTCACCCTGAACAAGACAGAATTGCGACTGTTCGTGAATGCATACATTCTTAAGTAAGCCCACGTCCCAGATTCTTCAGAATTTCCCAATGCGAACATTAAAAGGTGTGCATTCAAGACCGGTCTTACCAAGATGGAAGAGAGACACATACCAACTGGTTAGTCAAGAAGAATAAGGTACTGCTGAGGAACGAACCGAACTTGAATCCAAGAGCAGCAATGGCACCTTTGATGTCTAAGAGAAGGTCATGCGGACAACAATAACCAGGCTAATCGGCAGAATTTTGGGGAATATTATTCAAACCATTCTCTGAAAGAGTCAAATGAGGAGACTGTTTGTGAAGATAATGGAGCAGGAAGAAAATGAAGAGGTTGATAAACTGCCACTGCATGAAGTGGACTTCATCAACAGAGGACCTCCTTTTCAGGTTTGCTAAGTCTCTTGGCCTATATTATACCTTGATAATTGATTTCCGATTTAAATATGAAATATTGTTCCTATATCAGTATTGATGCTACCAAAATTCGTACCTGGATTGACTCGAATCGGATGGTTGAACTCCACGCGCTCTGATCTTCAATGCCTGAAACCAAGGTGTCGAGGTGTGTTATCATCGCTCCTCCGATGCTTAAGTCAGAGAGTGGAATCACAAAATATATATGCTGTAATATTATTGAAAAAACGTACCTGAATAATGAGGAGGGGATACATATTTAAAGATGCTGGTGGTTGAGTCCTAAATGGACTAGTATTCCCTTATGGGAGGTGTTTGTGTTGTGCTGGGATTGTATTATTTTGAGATAATGTGAGTTTTATGGTAAGTTGGGGGTTTAATAGTTAAGTTGAACTAGTATTCTATGGTCACGTGTGGTTGGAGGGAAGCACGTGAGGTAGGGACCGCGAGGTCAATGAACTCGCCTAGCTTGACTTGACCCCGACCCGACCTCGTACAATGGGCAGAGGGGCTCAGCAAGCAAAGTCAAGAGGTCGAGCTCGGGGTTCACGCCATCAAAGGATAAGACCTGACATCGACCTCGGTGGCCTACGTAATTGGGCTAATTGAGGAGGATCGAGCTCGAGATCGGGTTTGGGATTATCGAGTATGAAATTGCCTGTTTCTTCTTATGCGTTGTATTTGCAGTATCAAGATGACCCAATATCCTGGTTCCAAAAGAAAATTCGAGGGAGGATGGTGGTGTTAACCTATCCTATATTGAAAGAGACGAATGAGCTTAACGTCATCAGATGTCAAATTTTTTCTGAAGTTGCCAGGATGTGATTGGTGCTACCTTCCACATGAAAAGGTATTGGTGTAATAACCTAGCGCAAAAACTATATTAAGAAAATGAAACTAAATCTTGTCATTGTACTATTCAATCCTATGCAGTGCTCCTTAACCAACAATTCTTGAGTTTCAGCTTTGTTGTAACAAAAGTTGAGGCAATTATTATCTTACAATTCATATGTTGTCAACTGAATGCAGGTCAAACTCTCAACTGGCCAAGTAGTTGAAAACCATGGTGCCTCCCTAATATAACTAAGAGGCACAACCAGTGGAAGGGGCTTTTCGGAAGGATCAATCGGGACGGTATTTTTCGATCATTGACCCGCAGCCAAAGCAGGATTTTCAAACCGCAGTTATATCTAACTGGTGGTTGCTGCTCGAATTTTGTGTTGCTCAATTGCCCTTGTACACATTTGCAACGAAGGTAAAGAGATTTTAGAGGTTTCAACCCATGGTGGCTAGGTCGAACTTGTTGGGCATGGTTATGCTGAAAATGTTACTACTTTGACCATCGTCGGGGGAATATGTTCTTACAAAATTGTTGTACAAATAGCAATTTTTCCATTTGTACAGAGAGGTTTGATAGGGGAGGTTGACAACCTTTCTGTTGACATACAAAAATAAGGTCAAACTAAATGATTTAAAGAATGAAGTCCAGTTAAGAAATTCGAAGGATGGACCCAAACGAGACCATATAAAAACTCAAGACGGAGTTATATAATGGAGGTCCATCATCGTTCAAGCCTGCGAGATGCCCAAGATCTGGACGAGCCCATCATCGCTCAAACCTGTGGACGCCCAAGATCTGGGCGAATATAGTTTCTTGATTGCTATTTGAAGCAACGATTATTGAAGCGATTAATGGGTAATCTTATCACATTCCATGATCCAAGAATCTCGATTACAAGAAGTTAAGCGATTGAGGTAATGACAGCGGTTGAAAATGGTAGTTTCTTGACAAGTCATCCATTATGGAGAAAGTTGGTAATTACAGGACGATGAGCAATTTTCAAACGGTTCTACAAGAGAAACTATCAAAGGAGTATAAAAGAGAAAGAAGGATTTAGAAGAGACACGAATCAAACTACTCTCAAACAAAGAACTATGTAGTTTTATTTCTTTTCTTCCTGTTAACTTTCAATTACTTTGCGAATTCAGTGTGCTTGTGCCCCTTGAAGGCATTTCGCTTCGTCCATATTGTAATCTTCATAAATAAAACACCCATCGTTGGGACTTTGTCACGAGAGGTTGTTGTATCTTACACAATCGTTTGAACCTTTTTTTAATTGTTAGCAAAGTTCGATTTCCACGCGAAACACTTTCACATGAAGCACAACCCCGTGTGAATAAAAAATTCCATAAAAAAAAAAGTGGGCACTCCATTGTGTGGGTTGGTCATCCATTTGTGTCAACCATGTCGTGTACTTGAAGTAGGTTGTTCTACAAATAGACACGAGTTGACTAATCTTTTTGCTCAATTATTGCTCTTGATTCCCTTTTTATGGGCTTTATATTGCAATTTATTAAAAAAGATGTGAATCCAATAAAATATTTGATTAAAATTAGTAGTAGGATTTTACCCAAGTTTTTAAACTTTCCAAATGAACACATAGATATTTGTTTAAAATAAAAGATTGACAACTAACTTGTTGCTATTTAAAAATTAGAAGCCAATTCGTAGAGGCAAATAGATTGAGGATTAGTTATTTCATTTTCACCGCCATCGCTGTATCACCATCAATTCGACCTCCCATTCCCACATTTCCTTTCTCCTCAAAAATCCCAGTCTAGATCTGTCGGAATTGCACTCAAATTCCCGTCCAGAAATCCCATATAAATGTTTCTCTTGGACTGGTTTTACGGCGTCTTGGCCTCACTCGGCTTGTGGCAGAAAGAGGCCAAGATCTTGTTTCTTGGTCTCGATAATGCCGGTAAAACTACCCTCCTTCACATGCTCAAGGACGAGGTAATAATTTTTATCTATTTGTTTTCCAGAATTATGGGAAATGATTAAATTGATACGTACAACATAAATTTTTTTTACATGGAGATTTTGAGGGTTTAATTGGATTTCATTTATGGGTTATTTGTAGAGATTAGTGCAGCATCAGCCAACACAATATCCGACATCTGAGGAGCTGAGTATTGGGAAAATTAAGTTCAAAGCCTTTGATTTGGGAGGTCATCAGATCGCCCGTAGAGTCTGGAAGGATTACTATGCCAAGGTATGCAGAATTTCCAAATTATTAATACAGATACTTATGTAACCTATGCTAATCGTGTGTCTTAAACCGAATGGGATCCAAATTTGTCATGCTCTTCTACGTTTTGGTTAGATGGGATTTAGATAGTTTCTGTGGAATTCTCAAAATTTTTTATTGTCTGAAGAGGAAGACAGCTGAAATTAAGCAGTTGATCGGATCTTTCTTGCCTGTGTACAACTGAATTGATCTCTGCATGGCTTGGTTTTTGAGCTAACGTTTTCAGTGACCTGTATAACTTGTGGTTGAAATGATTATTATGAATCTCATGTGGAGTAACTTTTTAGTTGGAAAGCTTCAAGTGCATGACATAATTTGGTGGGCTTTTCAAGCTGGTTGCTAGTGAAAGCAAGTAAAATGTGGTTAGCATCACAATTGCATCATGTGCATCTGCATGGCTTCTATATACATTTCTTCTGTTTTCAGTTATGCAGATCACTCAAAGTATTATGCTTCTTGATATATATTTGGACATTCAATGGCAGTTTTGCACTCTGTTATATTGAGCTCTTCCCATTCTTCCATTTGGATTTTGGAGCATAGGTTATTTAAAGCTTTTATCTGAAAAATTGTCAAATATCTAAAATACATTTATAAAAAATTAAAAACAAAAAGGAAAAAAATAGTCTCCATTCCAACCACTTTCTCATCACCTCCTGCCGTCCACAAAGACCCCTATCCCGCTGGCCGCTAGCTAAACGACCATCCACCAACCAATCCCTCCAGACAACCAAGCTTTCCATTCAATGCGAATTCCCTCGAACCTTGAAATCACTGATTGGACTTGAGGAGACTAAAGTCCTACATGTGAGTTTACGGTCATGTGGAACATGAGGCATGAGCGAACGAGACTGCTCACTAGCTAGCCAGTCTTCAGAGGCGGGAAACAGATCCAAGAACCTATATGAAGGCAGACCCATTGATCACCAAGCTTAGAACGTGCAGTACTATGGTTACTCCTCAACTAAACACAACCAAGAAATCAAACCACCACTCCAGATCATATGGAAAGGGAGGAGGAGAGCTGAAAAACACAATGTAGACCAAAAGACCAAATAAAATAAAAAAGAAAATGAGTATCACAAAATGAGATGCAACCCACACCCCCCAAGAAACTTAAATGAAATGAGATAGAATTAGAAGTGACATGAGTGAAAATAATGCACAAATGTATGGACGAAGTCTATTTACGGTCTGTTTTGGAGGTGTGGGGGGAGGGGGGTTGTTGATATGGGTCAGAAGAAGATGGGGAAATTGTGCATATCAAAAATAATTTTACCAAATTTAAAAATTTTTAATTTACAAATATATGAACCATATAAAGTACTATAAGAAATATCACTTGAGAACAACTGAATTCCATTTAAGAATACAAGTGATTTTCTGAAAATTGCCTTTCTCCTATGATTATGTACTCTAGCATATGTTTTTTTTACATGGATAAATTTTTCTAAATGTTTGGCTTTATGTATTTGTATTCTTGCACAGCGGCCTTATTTAAAAATATATATGTATATCAATTCATGATCTTATTTGAATGTTTGTGTTATTTATATCCTTATTTAATTTCATGTAGCCTCCCACTAAAACCTCTAAAGTTTGTGTTTCTTCTTTAGATTCTCATTTTGGAATTTGGCAAGAAGTCTACATTAACTACGTGTTAGGGACTTAAGCGGTGCATGTGTTTGCAGAGTTATGACTGCCTTGAGATGTATTGTTTGCCTTTTTATGATCAAGTCTGTACTTCTATAGCTTTATCCACTTAATCTTTTCTTTGTTTAGTTGGCCTCAAGTATTCTTTGATTTTTCATTTATTCATGTTTTTTCCGCTGTGGGAGCAGTGATGAGACGGTGATACCAAGATGGACCCATTTGTGAGATGCAAATAGGTTCAGAATCTTTTAGCACAATAGTTTGTTCAGTTGATTATGAATATGCTTCTCTTTAGTTCTCTGCATTCAAAGTCATGTAGGGAAATGCTGATGCTCTTAACTGATTGTGAATTTTCACAATTGTCGAGAAACATGAGACTTTATCATTTGAGAAGTTTAGTAAACCTTGCACCTTTACCACCCCGCACCCCCCAACCATCATTTGATCTCCATATGTGACATTGAGGATAAAATGGTGACATAGTTAAGCCTGAAAATATTACTTTTATATATAGACACCATCATGGCAAGCTGTAATTTTATTTTTCCCCTGAGGTATGCTTCTAAGTATTACCCGTGATTTTATTCCCCTCAGCATTTAAAAGATAAATTGGTTTACCCCAGTGTGCTGTGATATTGGGGAGACAAACTAGTTTTGTTCAATCTCGTAATATCTTTTTGTCTCAATAAATATGATACCATGTAATTTATGCTTCTCATCTGGTACAAACACATGCCCTGTATGTTTATATAGGTTGATGCTGTAGTCTATCTGGTGGATGCCTATGACAAAGACCGTTTTGCAGAATCAAAGAAGGAATTAGACGCGCTCCTTTCTGATGAGGCTCTTGCCAATGTGCCCTTCCTCATTTTGGGAAACAAGATTGACATACCATATGCTGCCTCAGAAGATGAATTGCGCTACCACCTTGGCCTGACTGGTTTAACCACTGGCAAAGGGAAGGTGAATCTTGCAGATTCTAACGTGCGCCCTTTGGAGGTATTCATGTGCAGCATTGTACGCAAAATGGGGTATGGTGACGGCTTCAAATGGGTGTCTCAATATATAAAGTAGGGTGATCCCTTGGAAAAATGTTCCATTGGTTACATCATCCCTTCGCTCGACAAAGAAAAGAAAAAGAGAAGGAAAGAAGAAAATCCAGTCTTCTCACTGTGCTTGAGTCTGTTATCTTCAGCAACAACCGTTTACTTATTTCGATTTTGTCTTCTACTATGAATTTTGTTAGAGCCTGAAAAATGGATATTTTAGTGTTTACTTTTTGTAAAATATTATGAGAATTGGCTTTGAGAATTAAAAATAATGTTTGTCTTTCATTTTGCGCTTCTTTGTTTCATTTTGCAACCGTTTCATTTTCTTCTGCGTTGACGTCAGTCCACATCACACATTGGAGAGCTCCAATATGGATGCTCTATTTTCATCCATCATTTTCATATATCTATTCATTTTTTAAAATATTTTTATATTGCATTTAACTATATGTAAATTTATTTAAATATCAAAGTCAAACAATTAATATTAATCATATCTTTTATGGGTTCCGCAACTTTTCCACCACACATTTCATAAACTTCTATCAAAATCTATTAAAAATCTAATTTTAATTCCTTTAACCATTAAATTCTTTTACTCTCCACAATTTTATAAGCACGAAACAAAGAAGACCCACGTACAATTCAGATCGAAACCCTGCGCTTCAATGCAGGACACGGTTCCTGTTTCTTTGCAGCATTTATCTTGAACTTTTAGGAAAGTGGGCAAGAAACTGAGTTGAAAAATGGGTTCTTTTGGTTTACAGCACTGCGAAAAGGACGAAGTGAGTAATGCTATTCATCTCCATTGGGGATGAAAATACAATCTACGTGGCGTTAATATGACGTTAAATGATAGGTGAACTTTCATTTAACCTATCATTTAATGCTACATAAATTGTGTTTTCATCTTCACTAGAAATGAATAACATTATTCTGAAATTGTTAGGTATTCAAAAATAGACAAATCAAAGTATAGTTAGATATTCAAAAATAGACAAATCAGAGTATAGTATAGCGACATCATGCTTACCCTCTCTCCCGGCCCCGCCTTAGGGGAGGAAATAGTAATCCGCGTAAATTAAACTGTATGACCACCACTTTGGCTTTGGTCCAACACGTTTACAGTCAACACTCTCATTTCTCTGACTCCCCCCACCCACGACCCCAATATATATAAGGATAACTAGAGAGAGATACATACAATATAAAATACAACTCCTCTTCACTGTGAATCAAAGCAAGAATATAAAGGCAAAGGAATTCATCAAATTACTTACACTTTTCGCATATATTGATGGGGAATTTCACTTCTTGCTGCTCTGTCGAATCGCAAACAGCGAAAATTATTGATCTCCATGGGAATATTCGGATTGTTGAGATCCCTTTAACTGCCGCAGATCTAATGCTTGAAGAACCAGGTCGCGTTGTTTCGCCGGCCGTTGAGATTTCCGGATCTGATTTCCGGTTTTCGGCGATGAAAGCCGATGAAGAATTAACTGCCGGAAAAGTTTATGTACTGATTCCTGTACGTAGAGTTAATAGTAAGGTCTCGGAATCGGAGATGGCAGTGATCAAGGCTTCCACCGGTGTTAAAAGTAAAGCAAAACGACGTAATTCCAAGGTTCTGCCGGTGTTGGATGAAAGTTCAGATAAGGAAATTGATAATCCGGTAAAATTGATTCCGAATCAACGGCTAAGACCTTGGAAACCTGCTCTAGAACCAATTTCAGAGGGAATTTGAGGGGATTTTTTTGGATGGGTTCCGATTTCCGAATGTTTTTTTATTCCACGCGGAGGTTCGAGACCAATTCAAGCTTTGTCTTGTAAATTTCTCATTTGGCAAGTTTGTGGATATAATTTGTATAAATTTTTTATTCATTATACCTTTTATTGGACGCAAGTTAATTTGATGATACAATTATATTATAAGCTGATCCACATTATTTTATAATTCATTTTCAATTACACATTTTTCAATAAAATAATATTTTTCATCACATCAATAACATTTTTTTAACTTTTTAACTATATATTTCTCATTATATCACTATTTAAAATATATTCTTTTCTCAATAATATACATCAAACACGCCCTAATTCTATTACAGTTGAATGGTTCCTCTTCTATTGATCTTATTAGGTAGGGACANGGGAGGAAATAGTAATCCGCGTAAATTAAACTGTATGACCACCACTTTGGCTTTGGTCCAACACGTTTACAGTCAACACTCTCATTTCTCTGACTCCCCCCACCCACGACCCCAATATATATAAGGATAACTAGAGAGAGATACATACAATATAAAATACAACTCCTCTTCACTGTGAATCAAAGCAAGAATATAAAGGCAAAGGAATTCATCAAATTACTTACACTTTTCGCATATATTGATGGGGAATTTCACTTCTTGCTGCTCTGTCGAATCGCAAACAGCGAAAATTATTGATCTCCATGGGAATATTCGGATTGTTGAGATCCCTTTAACTGCTGCAGATCTAATGCTTGAAGAACCAGGTCGCGTTGTTTCGCCGGCCGTTGAGATTTCCGGATCTGATTTCCGGTTTTCGGCGATGAAAGCCGATGAAGAATTAACTGCCGGAAAAGTTTATGTACTGATTCCTGTACGTAGAGTTAATAGTAAGGTCTCGGAATCGGAGATGGCAGTGATCAAGGCTTCCACCGGTGTTAAAAGTAAAGCAAAACGACGTAATTCCAAGGTTCTGCCGGTGTTGGATGAAAGTTCAGATAAGGAAATTGATAATCCGGTAAAATTGATTCCGAATCAACGGCTAAGACCTTGGAAACCTGCTCTAGAACCAATTTCAGAGGGAATTTGAGGGGATTTTTTTGGATGGGCTCCGATTTCCGAATGTTTTTTTATTCCACGCGGAGGTTCGAGACCAATTCAAGCTTTGTCTTGTAAATTTCTCATTTGGCAAGTTTGTGGATATAATTTGTATAAATTTTTTATTCATTATACCTTTTATTGGACGCAAGTTAATTTGATGATACAATTATATTATAAGCTGATCCACATTATTTTATAATTCATTTTCAATTACACATTTTTCAATAAAATAATATTTTTCATCACATCAATAACATTTTTTTAACTTTTTAACTATATATTTCTCATTATATCACTATTTAAAATATATTCTTTTCTCAATAATATACATCAAACACGCCCTAATTCTATTACAGTTGAATGGTTCCTCTTCTATTGATCTTATTAGGTAGGGACAGATCCAGAACCGAATTACGGGGGCGGACTAATATGTAAAAAAAAAAAAAATTACACAAGAAATTTTTTTTAGGCATGACTTAGCTCCCGTTTGCCCTTATTATTTGTCATTATTTGAAATTATAATTTTTGAAATAACATTTTTTTGAAAAAATGAATGTGTGATTAAAAAATAAGAAAGATTTTTTGATTTATGTATAATATTATTTTATTGGAGATTGTATAACTGACAAGAAGAGAAAAAAAAATTATAATTTTAATGGATTCAAACGTTAGCTTAGTACTCTTATGTCTATGCTCCATGTAAAGTGTCTCTACATTTTGGGGTTCAACCTTTAATGAACTTCTTTATGGGGCGGTGCTGTATGTAATTAGAGGAGGAAAAGTTGATTTTGTTTGGTGCAGATTATAATCAAATTAAAATTTTAAGTGAAAATTAACAAATGATTTCAATTGTTATGGAATTTTTCAACTTTTTAACTATATATTTCATCACTATTTAGAGTTAAATTCACCAATGGTCATCCATATTTATACTTAGTATCATTATGACCACCAAATTTGAATTTATTTCACCATGACCATCTAACTTTATATTTAGTGTCACCATGACCATCCAATTTATTTTATTCCACCATTGTCATCCAATTTCATATAAAATTTCACCATGGTCGCCTAATTTCATATAATATTTCACCATGACCATCACTTATTTTCACAATTTTCATTAATTTTAAAATGGGTAAAACAATAATATATTTAAAATAAATTAAAATAAAAACTTATTAAAAAATAAAAATAAAAACTTAATTTAAAATAAAGTTACTTAGAAAAATAAAATTTTTATTTCTGAATAAATTTCTTTCGTTTTAAAAATAAAATAAAAAGTTATTTAAAAAGAATGTTCCTTAAAAAAATAAAAACTTATTTAAAAAATAAGGCTTTAAAATAAAATAAAAACTTATTTGAAAATAAACATTTTTAAAATTAAGTTTTTTTAAAAAAAAAAAATTATTTTACATAGATAATAAAAAATTGACATTTTACCTCTTTTAAAATGAATGAAAATGATGAAAATAAGTTTGATGGTCATTGTGAAATGTTATATGAAATTGGGTGGACATTGTGAAACTTTATATAAAATTGGGTGATCATGATGAAATAAAATAAATTGAATGGTTATGGTGACACTAAGTATAAAGTTGGATGATTTTAATTTAGAACGTGAATGATTATTGATTGTTGATTTTTGTTTGGAATGAGAATAATTTGAGTTTTCTACTCGGATTATATGTTCTTCTCTTGATTTTCTTGAATTACAATAGGGATAGAATTAGAGTGTGATAGTATATAAAAATATTGTATGTATATTTGTATTTAAATGAATAAATTTAATTTATTTAACAAGGTTAATGTTGGAATACAACGTGGACGAATATGGTATTTTTTATAAAATTTAAAAATTTTGTAGAGTGGAATGAATATATTAAAGTGGTGGATGAAAATAGTTATCCCCATTCTTATCCTAGTTAGCCTAAACATATGAAAGTGTGTCACATATGTGAAAGGGGTTGACACTACCTAAATCTATAATAAACATGTCAACCATATAAAGACAATGTGACCTAATATTGAAAATTTACCCATCGAATGTTGAAAAGTTTATCAACAAAAATGACATCGAATAACAAATCTATGGTGGTTGCCACATCTAAGAGACTTTGTCACTATCCAAACTCTTCATTTAAATGTGATTTTCGGTTCCAAATTATCAAAATTTTATTCGTCATAAAGAGGGACTCAAGCTCATTCAACCCGTGGACAAGCACCTTAGAAGAATAAGCTTGGCATTAAGGACAAGATGTGAACAAAAAGCCCTCATTCTTATAACACACCATTCCAATGGTAGTCTCTCACCGCATATCATCTGTAATAGAATACGTTAACTATGACTCGTCTCTTAGATGAACATCAAGTTTGATATCACAGATGAAATTGTATGAGTTGACAGTTTTCTATATATTGATTTTAACTACATTTATTCCAATCAATTATGAAATTTTCTACACATGAGGATGGCATCCAAAATGTCGACCATAAATATAAAAGTAGTTTAATTGTTGCTGACTTAGTATGAGAAGGATGATAAGGCCACATGTCTGCGCTCTACATCAAATACTCGAAAGCTTTATCCGAGATTTTGTCCGTGCCACGTGAACAGGGCCACATTCAAACCGGGGCGCCACGCCCATAGACAATCAGAGGATAGTGATATATTCAAAAATAGACAAATCAGAGGATAGTATAGTGACATCATGCTTACCTCTCTCCCGGCCCCGCCTTAGGGAGGAAATAATAATAGTAATCCGCGTCCATTAAACTGTATGACCACCACTTAGGCTTTGGTCCAACACGTTTACATTCAACACACTCATTTCTCTGACTCCCCCAACCCACACCCCAATATATATATAAGGATAACTATAGAGAGAGACATACAAAATAAAAAACAACTCCTCTTCACTGTGAATCAAAGCAAGAATATAAAGGCAAAGGAATTCATCAAATTACTTACAATTTTCGCATATATTGATGGGGAATTTCACTTCTTGCTGCTCTGTCGAATCGCAAACAGCGAAAATTATTGATCTCCATGGGAATATTCGGATTGTTGAGATCCCTTTAACTGCTGCAGATCTAATGCTTGAAGAACCAGGTCACGTTGTTTCGCCGGCCGTTGAAATTTCCGGATCTGATTCCCGGTTTTCGGCTATAAAAGCCGATGAAGAATTAACTGCCGGAAAAGTTTATGTACTGATTCCTGTACGTAGAGTTAATAGTAAGGTCTCGGAATCGGAGATGGCAGTGATCAAGGCTTCCACCGGTGTTAAAAGTAAAGCAAAACGACGTAATTCCAAGGTTCTGCCGGTGTTGGATGAAAGTTCAGATAAGGAAATTGATAATCCGGTAAAATTGATTCCGAATCAACGGCTAAGACCTTGGAAACCTGCTCTAGAACCAATTTCAGAGGGAATTTGAGGGGATTTTTTTGGATGGGTTCCGATTTCCGAATGTTTTTTTATTCCACGCGGAGGTTCGAGACCAATTCAAGCTTTGTCTTGTAAATTTCTGATTTGGCAAGTTTGTGGATATAATTCGTATAAATTATTTATTTATTATACCTCTTTTTGGATGCAAGTTAATTTGACGATACTGGTTCCTCTTCTATTGATCTTATTAGGTACCACTAAGCCCTGGATTCACTATTTTTTAAAGAATGTGTGATTAAAAAAAGGAAAAAAAAATGAATTTACGTGTAATATAATTTTTTTAAAAAATGTGTGATTCATAATAAAAAAAAAATAAAAATTTTAATGAAAGCCAACTTAGTCTTAGTACTCTTATATCTCTGTGCTCCATGTAATTTGTCTCTACATTTGAAAAGGAAAGAAATAAAGAAAGAATATGATTTATGAATTATTATGACAACGGACAAATAGAAGATCTTGTTTATGTCAAATAAACTTTTAATGAAAGCCAAATAAGCTTTTTAACGTTTTGTTTGGTGTAGATTATAATCAAATTTAAATTTTAATCACGGAATTCTCAACTTTCAACTATTTCATCAATATTTATCAAAATTTATTAAAAAATTAACTTTAATCTACAAAGCTTAATTTCTCTTATGGGAAATTTTATCCCAAAAAAGTTATTGAATGCCCCGGAAAAGTCATTTTGTTGACCGAAGAGGTTTTCCAGTACGACAAACCTATAACAGTCGCAGAGTTCATGCTGGAGCATCCACAACAAGTGGTGGTTGAATTCCAGCTGGTGATGAAAGGAAATAGGCTGACACCATTGCCGGTGAACAAGAAACTCGAGATGAGAAAGGTTTATCTAATGCTTTCGGTCAAGAGAGGCAAACATGCGACATTGTCTTCAGAAGAAGCCCGTAGGGTTTTGGAAAATGCAAATTCTTTTTTGAAATCTAAGCCCTTGTTTGAGCCATATTATTTTTCAAATTCTCATTTTCAACCACATTCTTTAATAAAATAATATTTTCCATCACATCAATAATTTTTCATTCTTTTTTAATCACATATTCTCCATCAATCCACTTCAAAAAAATGCACTCTCTCATTTTAATATATACCAAACACACCGGCCGGTGGCGGTGTGTGACATGACGACGTTTTGACGAATACGAAGAAGAATTCTTTGGTAGGAAAAAAAAAAAGAAGAAGAAGAAGAAAGAGGAGCAATGAAAATTAGATTATTTTTGTGAAATTTTGGAGGAAAGGCCTGAATTCTTGAGGAGGCAATTATCAGGGACGGGGTGGAAGCCAGGTTTGGATACAATCAGGGAAAAGACCATCAAAGCCATAATCCGCCGTTGGCTGTTTTGAAGATCATGTTTGTAGAACGAGCGGCGGCGCAGCCATGAACCATGAAATTCTGTATTCTTCATGTGCGTTGTCTATGTATATTCAAGATGTAAATATTATTATTATTATTATTACTACGCGTGTTGTTGAGTTATAGTGTAGAATTTGAGTTGGTAAAATATTTGTGCATAAATTACATATAGACTAG